TTTTTTCCATCCATGGCGGATTGACCACGGCAGCGGGTCGGTTCGGCGGAGGCGGCCTCCCCGCGGCGGAACCGGATCGAAGCAAGGAGCTGCTTGAACGAGGTGCCGGCCAACTGCCCCGACGCGTGCGCTCGGGTTTTTTGGTCGCGAGCGCCTTCCCGACGATGGGCCGCTCGCTCGCCTCGGCCGTCAAGACGACGAGCCGCACGCTGCACGTCGTGAGGCACCTCCAGCAGCTCATCTTCAACGAGTGGATGGAGCGGACGGAGCCGCTGCCCCGCTTCACCGGCCCGGACGGCTCGGCCGCCATCTTTGTCGTCAAGAGCTCGCGCCGCAAGGAGTGGCTGAAGAAGCTGTTTGGCAGCGTGAGCGAGGAGCTGATGCAGGTGATTGAGCCGCCGCCCGCCGGTGGCGACGGCGCGGAGGGGGAAGGGGCGCCCGAGAGCCCGGCCGCGGCGGCCATCAGCGCGGCGCTCAAGTCGCGCAACCCAGTGCGGCGCGCCGCGGCGCGGAGCCTCGCGGGCTACGCGCGCGACGAGTTTGACGTCGTGTGCGAGGTCAAGTCGGACCGGACGAAGCTGCTCGGGCCGGCCGCGCTCGAGCTCGAGGTTGCGGGGAACCACACGCACGTGGCGGCGATGTGCGTCTCGTACCGCTCGGCCGAGTTCCGAGCTGGCGTCGAGTCCTTCCTCGCGCCGCACGCGCCGCGCGCGCCGCCGGCCCGGGCGAACGCGATGGCGCAGTGCGTGGCGCCGCTGCGGGGAGTGGCGGAGCGGGTCGACGCGCTCGGGGTTCCGGCGTGGATCCCGGAGCTGGTGTTTGGCGACCTGAACGCGCTGCGCAGCGGCGTGAAGCGGCAGGGGATCAACATGGAGGATTTTGTCTAGAACGTCAGCGTATGTGCACGGTGGTGAGATTGTGTTCAGGAGGAGGGATGATTGTGTCAACTGTCAGATACCATGGGCATGTGATGTGATGGCATGAGCGATGAGGATTACTCTACGTTGACGGTGTGTTGCCGTGAAGTCGGCGAATCGTATCTCTATATCTGTGAGAGAAGGCGCGAACAACGCGCTGAGTGGTTTTCCTCGCACACATCGATCATCGTTGGTGGTACGGTATACAATCATAATTGCCCTCTCCTCCCATTTCTCGCACCACCCCGTACGCCAGTCGCCACCGCCCCCGCGGACGCAAGCGCCACGCGCACGCCCACGCAGTTCATCTTCATGAGTCGCGTCGGCGCCGCCGGCGCGACGAGCAGCCCGGCGATGACCGTGACAGGCCTTCGGACCGAATTGGCCAGAGAGTGCGAGACGGCGGACATGCGCGAGAGGCAGACGAAAGAGAGCTGGAGCTGGAGGTAGAAGGCGGCGCAAGCCGTGGCCAGCGGGAGCGGCCGCCGCAGTAGCGCCGCCGCGCCGCCTCGCAGCGCCGCCGCCGCGGCGGGCGAGAGGGCGGCGCGGGCGCACAGCAGGGCCAGCTGCGCCGCGGCGCCAAAGGCGCTCATCTGGAAAAAGAGGAGCACAGGCCCTGTGCCGTGCCGCGCCTAGGGAGTTCCTAGAAGGCTCGGGGAAGGCTCTGCAAGAGGAGCACCCGGTGTCGGTCCCGTGCCGCGCCTTGACGCGCCGCGCGAGGATGCCGGAGGGTGTGGATGCTGAGTTGACGGAAATTCAGGGACGCGACCCACTTCGCCACAGACGGTCCCGCGCCTCGCCGCTATGACGACTACACGACCGCGGCTCGTGTGCGTGTAGCCGTCTTTGTCCGGAGTGAAAAGTCCAACGCACTCGTCGGTGACGGTGTCCCTGAATTGCGCCGCGCTCGGTCCGAGACCTCGACAGCGCCTTCGGTGGCATGCACCTCTTTGC